ATATCATGTATTTTGAAGTTCAAACTTTATCTGATGGAGGTGAATAGTGCCATCCTCAAAAGGTACCTGAATGAGAAAGTCAATCAAGATGTATGTCATTATGTCATTGACAAGGACGATGTCATAAAGAAGGATGACTTTGTGGAAGTTTGTTCTGATACCAATAACATTAAGTATGTTATTGAGGAAGACAATAAGAATCTGATGGTAGTTCACTTTTATTTTGAAGACATTATGTTGTGTAGGATGTCAATTAAGATGTTAGAGCATTTTGTTCAACAAATGTAGTCTGAATTTGAGTTGAGCGTGGTAGGAGATATTACCTAATTTCATGATTTTCAAGTAAAGAAAATGAAAGACTACACCTTTGATTCCCAAAGTATACATGCTGGAAGTAGTTGCACTAAATTGTTGGGGAGTAACCTAATGCTTAAAGATGAAAATGAAGATATCAATCAGGATGTGCCAGACAACATATGTGACATGTTGGTGACTGAGTTTCTAACTTAGAGGAAGGACATGACAAGGTGAATTATGAAAACCAATTTTAATTCCAAGTCACCTTTACTTTGTCTTGAATTTGGATGATAATAATGCTATAAACTGCGTGGACTTATGCCAATGGAAATGAAATTCAAATTTCATTCAAGTTTTTGTTTTGACTTTTCTAAACTTAAATTGGAACATGGTGATGATTTCTGATAGTGATGTATGCATAATGATAAAACCATATCAAACTTGTAAATTAAAGATGAAAATCAAAGTTCTAATCCATTTTGATTCAAATTGTGTTTCCTTTAGGGTTTTGATTTGGTACAAAGTCTTGGTAACTTGAATTTAAGAGAAAGATTATTATTTTAACTCACTATAGGAGTGCATGATATGTACAAATGACCCATCACATGTACTTGATTAACAAATTAAAAAAGAATTGCACTTCAATCAAATTCTAACTAATGGTGAATGATGATGAATGATGAATGAATAAAATGATGAGAATTTGGAAAGAAAGCTTCATCTAAGCCAAAAAGTTGACTATTCAATCTTGGCTCTGACTTTGATCTTTATTCATGAAAGGATATAGTATGATGAATGTAATACATGATATGAATGATTCAAACATGACACTTAAGGATACAACTAAATTGACCAACTGGACCAAAAAGTTGACTTTGATCCCTTTTGCATAAAAATGTGATTCAAAGACCATGAAATGATATATGACCATGACAAAAATAAAAAATAACTAATGAATGAAGCCATGACCTAGGGACCTCTTGTCAGATGACATTCAAGTGCACATAGCTAGATGATATGAAAATAAAAGAGACAAAATTGAGATATCACAAACATCTCAAATAAACCTATATCTACAAAAATACTATTAAAGGCCAATGAAGTTACTTTATCAAAGAAGTTTATAAAGAAGATAAAAAACTTAATTTTCTCTGGACTTCTGGAGGTGCATTGATAGTATACTCCAAATTTTCTTACATAAAAACTTTGTTTGTCAAACCTTGCTAAAATTCAATAAATATTTCACTAAATCAATGGTCATGATTTCTCTAATTAAAGTTAAAGGACTTTTTTTTTATGGATTTTCATATGCAAATGTAGTGACATTGATTGAAAATATCGTCTTATGCTCACTACTGATACGTTTGGTGTATTAACTTTCTACTCAAATGATGATTTTAAAAAGAATTTATTCGATGTGATATTATTTATTTATATATAATACATATTATATAAAAATAGAAGGTAAATAGGCAACAAGCAGCATCCTTACCTCTTTTATGGATGGTAAAATCAATTCTCTTAAAAACTATATTCATTGCTCTAAGAGACAAAACATTGATATGCATGAGCCATTGGATTTTCTCTAAAATATCCCCTGCCTCTGGTGCTAAAAAATCAAATGTGTCAAAGGAGAATAGTATGAAAGCATGTTAATTTTTGGAACACGCTTTCTCATGTTTGACCACTTTACTTAAAACAGATTTAAGAGTTGTATGTCCCATAGTAAAACCTCAAGTCCTCAGTCTCACTAGTCAAGTCTACACATGCATATTTCCCTTCTACCCACTCATACATCAGAACAGAACATCTGCTGATGTAAGTGTCAATCTCCCTTCTTGTGGGTCAGTCAAGAAATTCACAGACGCATCTTTCTTCATGGAAATACTCAGGCTCATCGAAATATGTAAAATAAGACATTCCTAACAAAGTCATGTCTCTATTTGAATCCTGAAAGCTCGGTACAATGCATCACGTGTTCCCCTAATGTATCCAAACACACATTACGACAAATAGAGCAAACATCATCAATAGAAAATAAGAGAATCATAAGGCGATATTTAAGAATAGTATGGTACTTTATCGGAGATGTTTGTTGACCTAGTCCATCAATATAAATTGCAAGGAGAAAATCCCAAGCATGTATTGCTTGTAAATAACCAAAAACTATTTCCTGTGTTGTGGTTATGTTAAACTTTACATCCATATCATGAACACTTTTATTAAAAACGGCACTCACCAAAACAAGTTGTGTTTTAGGGGAGACAATGTGCTTGCTAGTAAAACTGTTAGGTCAAAATCTAGAATCGCAATATTAAGATCGTTCAAAATTCTGACGAAATTAATAGTCTATATCACATATCTCAGTGTCTCTCAATATATGATCTTGTAATATCTAAGATTGAGTCTTATAAACCACAAAACGTATGAGAGAGCCTCTACTATCGAGTATAAACTCAATTCTCCAATTTTAATAGATAAAGAAGTCATCTTCTATTAAAGATCTTCGAAAGAAGAACCTCCACCGATCACAATGTCATTGAATAGCTGGAATTTTTTATATGTAATTAAATCTTATTACATATATAATTTGAGAGGAATTATTTGGTAATTTCCTGCAATGTCCTTACTGTACTGTGTACACAATTTGAATAATATAATACTACCATATGAACATAACTTGGCTGAGAGAAATCATTGAATGCTTGAATGAATCCTGAAAAGGAATATCTATATAAAAATGGAACTTGGAACCTTTTTCTTTGGTGGTACTTAAAATAAAATAATTTAACAACCCTTGACTTGAACTATATTATTAAGCAATGATTTGAACATGATTGGGGTGCTCTTAACATGATCCGCACTCCATTGCACTATTTGGGAGCAGTTAATCAATGATCATCTCGTAATGGTAACCAAACTAATTTTTAATTTGTGGAGGGTGGAATGTGATTAATTATAAGTTAGTTATATGATTGGATCTTGTTAGGGAGTTCTCTAATTAAATATTGCACCCTCCTAAAGAATCAGCATATATTTTGAGTATGTCCTTTATTATATTATTTTTGTAATTTTTATATACATCACAAAACTATAGTACAATAGAAGTTGAGTATAGTATATATAAGTAATAAATTGCCACAATAAGACAATTCAAAATTATAGTTAGGAGTATTTATGTTTAATATTTTATAGGTTTGGTGTTGAACAAAAGTGAGTATATTTTTATTGTCTCTCTAAAGTTTGTGTGTTTTTAAAAATCAATAGTATTTTTATTTTAAGGATGATTTGTCAAAGTTTGTTTGTTTATAAGAATAATAAAAAGTAAATTGAACTTTTGTATTAATACTTGAGAAAGTTTGTTGGGGTTAGATTTCATCGATCTATTTTTACATATGATTGATCTATTTTCATATATGATCATGATCAGTAATATGCAATTCTAATATTATCATCCATCGCTTTGCATCGTACTTTATGTTTAAGTCAACAACGTGAAATCAGTCGTATTACCTAATAGACGATTTTTCATCCTATATTAATCAATATGATAACATTACATTTCGATAGTTTTTGAGGATGTTAAACTTAAATCCATATATAGAGTTTAACATCTAGTATATGAAAAGCTTATACCTAAAAATTGCAAGTATATATCGATATCTAATCAAAACCATGAAAACATATTTTAGGCAGCTAATTCAAAACAAGCATTAAGCACGATGAATTAATCAATATTAAGGTATAAAAAGAATTACATATAACACATTGATCATATTGGATACATGAGGATTTTGATGACTACATTTACTTCCAACAAAAATGAAATAAGATATGTTTACTCATTGTAGCTTTACAATGATGATCTGGAAGAAAGACGTTGTTGAGCATTTGTGTTGATTCCTCAGATAACACTTTTGTCCCCAATCTTCATCTCATTTTCTCTCCTATTGCAATTTCGGTATCAAGAGCGTTTCTACCTTAAATCAATCAAAACCACCAAGAATCCACCAAAAGTTTCAATAAAATGACTTGAACTCCTATTTATATAGTTTTGATGAGGCCTTCTCGCTAAGTGAGACTTCTAGCTCGCTTAGCAAACTTGCATTTATTCTCCCCTAAGTCAAGCTAGCTTATTTTAAAGTGGGCTTCATCGCCAAACCTCGCTTAACGTGTCGCCCGTTCTCGCTTAGTGAGCAAACTATTCATTTTATCTAAAGTAACTTAGACAAGAAACATTAAATTATCATACATCGCTTAGTGAGTTCGACACTTTACTTAATGAGTTATGTTGCTTAGCCTTGAAGTAGTTTGATTCTAAATTCATATTGTGATGCCACTACTCGCCTAGCAAGACCCTGTTCTTTACTTAGTGAAAATGTTTGTTGGAAGGTACTTTGTTCTTGCTTTGTTGTTCTAAGTGGGCCATGATTTTTCTTGGCGAGATCTTGATTGTTGTCTATGTTGTTTTCTTTGTTCTTTTTACTTGTACTTTGTGAAATGGAGGTTTTTTCAATGATTACTTGCAAATTAAGCCTGTTTGAGTATAAACATATTTGTCTTGTAGAGTGTTTGTATAAGATTTTATCTAAAATTCTCGCTTCTAGGATGAAACTTGTCATTGGAAGTTAGTTTCGACAAAATAGTCTTCTTTCATTCCAGGTAGAAATATTTTGGACGAAGTTTTGATGGTTAGCAAAGTGATGGACTTGGCAAAAAGAGAGAAGCAGAGTTGTTTTATTTTTAAAGTTGATTACAAGAAAGCCTACGTTAATGTAAGTTGGAACAATTTGAGGTATATTTTCAGAAAGATGGGTTTTGGAGCAAAATGGATCAGTTGGATGGAGGCGTGTGTGTTTACTAGTTCAATGTTGGTGTTGGTAAATGGTGGCGCGACAGATGATTTTAAGGTGGAAAGATGGCTTCGTCAAAGAGATCCTTTATCTCCTTTTCTTTTTGTCTTGGAAATGGAAGGACTTATGTTATTGACGGAAACAACAATGGAGCTAGGGGAATACAATAGTTTCAAGATCAATGAGGAATTATCAATAGATATTTTACAATTCGCCGACGACACCATTATCATAAGGGACAGTGGAAGCAATAATCTATGGAGTATTAAAGCCATTCTAAGAGGTTTCGAGTTGATTTCTGGGTTATGCCTAAACTTCTGTAAAAGAAGTATTTTTGGTATCAATGTGAGCAGTTGGTGTATGGAGGCTGCTTCTTCATTCTTTTCTTGCAGGGTCGACATGCTCCCTTTCAAATACTTAGGAATTTGGGTCATTTCTAGCCCAAGAAAGATGCTAATTTGAAAAGAACTGTTAAGCAATTTAAGGTCCAAATTATCTTCTTTGAAGGGAAGATTCCTCTCTTTGGGTGGTAGAGTAGTGGTGATAAACGTTGTCTTGAACTCTTTCCCTATCTACACTTTGTCCTTTTTAAAAATTTTGAGAAATGTGTTGGAAGAGTTTGGTAGTATCATGAGAAAATTTATGTGGCGAGGAGTCGAGGATAAGAAACCTATACATTGGGAATAAGTTTGTAAGCCTAAGGAAAAAGTCGGGCTTGGAATTATTGATTTATAGGTTTTTAATAAAGCCCTTCTTTTGAAATGCAAGTGGAGGGTAGTCAATGATCACAACGCAATTTGGAGAGGCATTATCAACCACAAATACAAGAATTCGATGGTGAAGATGTTTATTGGTAATAAGTGTAGCGGGAAAATTTGAGATTAAGCTATTGATTAACTTAACTTGCAAAACAAGAGTCGCCACCACACTTTTATTTTATCCAAAAAAAAGGGAAAAAAGCGAAAAAAAACCTAAAGAAGTTCTTAAGCAAGAACAAATAAAACAGAGACATGGTAAGGGGGTTGGTTACACAAAGGGAATGTGTTAGCACCCAAAACGTCTATAGTACTCTATAAGAACCTCTTTGAAAATCTAGCGTTTGGCTTATAAAAAAGGTGTTGTTTGTAAAAGATGGTGAGGTGAGAAAAGAAGTATTTTTTTATAATTTTGTGTTTGACAAGTCTTCCTGAGCCTCGTGCCTATGTACCCACAAAGTGCAATGAAGGATCAAAACCTCGTTGTTCATGGTAAAAATAACAAAATGGTGTGTTATGATTCATTTTAAATGAAAAGACAACTTGTCATTTTAATGAGAAAAGTTCAACTAATCTCCCATAAGTATGTGAAAATGGACATTTGAATCACCATGAGAAGGGCTCCAATTTAGATATAATCAATAATTATGCCACTATCTCTCAAATATGAAAAAGAGTCAACTTGTTTCAAACAATAATATGGGGATATAAGGATAATATGTCAACTTTAAATGACTCATGTCTAAACTTTATGAAAAAGATAAAAGGAAAAGTGCACAAAGGCACAAACTGGTTTGAATGGGTTAAGTATTTTTTAAGTCTTATGAAATATGATCTAATTATACTTAAGATTGATTAACATTTATTAAGAAAATGAAGTTTGAAAATGCACTTGACAAAGTCAAGATTTATTATGAAAGAGGTTCTAGTTTTGAAAGAAGAAGGTTTTGAAAAAAGGAGAAGACTTTGAAAATTAAAGAAGGGGAGGAGATGAAGAGGCTAACCTAAAGCATAAAGTAAAAGCTAAGGAAGGAAATATCTAACCAAGATACAAGCTTTTGACATAATAAGCCAAAACTCCCATCCTTTGGACTCAAGCAACTAAATAAGCAAAGATAAGCAGAGAAGACCAAGCAACAGATAACCAAGCATTAGATGAAAGCCAAAGATCCAAGCCAAGGTCTTCATAAGAGGTCTCTCAAGGTCAAAGTGCCAAATAAGATCCAAACTCTCAAGATAATACTCCAAAGCATAAGGCAAGGATCCTAATTCTAAGTCCATCATCCATGAGCAAAGGGATAGTCACCAAATAGTCCAAGAAGCACATTAAGAGTTTTAAGATGTTTAAGACTTTATTAATGTCTTAAAAGAAAAAGAAAGTCCAAATGGACAAAGAGAAAAAGACATAAACATAAAAAATATGAATAATATTATATGATAATGATAAGCATAAAAATAAAATCATAAAGATAAAGAGCATAAAAATAAAGGTGCATAAAATAAAAGGCATAAAGTAAAAGTTAGTACAATTAATGGTTATTGTTAATGAAGATACTTTGTCATTTAAAGTAGAATACTCAACTAATCAACCCAACAATGTGTGAGAACTTTGCATCATCCTTTGAGAAGGGCTCCAACTTGGACCAATATGGACTAAAGATGGTTCATATCTAAAATTGGACCAATATGGTCACTTCCGATTAGAGACAAATTTAGCGTTATGTTAAGCAATCATAATACAATCTATATAAGGAAGATAATATTGTGGGAGGCCTGTCTATAACAATTTATGTATCATACATGTTAGAGATATGATATAAAGATCATATTATGGGAGGCATGTCAATAACAATTTATGTATGATACATGTTAGAGATATGATATAAAGATCACACTCCTAAAACATGTAGCATAAGTCAAAACAAGGTTGATCAAGACCTATGTCAAGGAAAGATGGATCCACTATATCATTCAACCTCTCATAGTACTTTGGACAAACTTATGCATCAATCCAAAGTACCTCAGTTGATCAAATGATCAATCAAATGGTAGATTTGAATTGATAAAAATTCATCAAGCACCATTCAAGGTCTCATGAACTAGGTGGCCTTCAACATCTTCCAATTGATCCAAAAAGGGTGAAAAATAAAAAGAAAGGGATGAAGAAGAGAGGAATAAACAAAAAGGCATAACCAAATCGGATCTAAGCAATGATCAAATCGTCATCAAAATCAATCATCTATTTTGGTGGATTAGGGTTTTCATCTCCTCAACACTCAAGATCCATTGCGTTTAATGAGACCTATGATTAAATCAACCAATATCCAAGGCCAGCAAAAGTCAACAAAGGTTAAACAATATCAAAATGCAATAAAGTGGATTAATATGCATCAAAGTGATTTTTAAAATGAATTTTAAAATGAAAATAAAGATGAAAATGCAAATGATGCATCAAATCAAATGAGAAATGATCAAGAAAAATCACACACGTAAGAAACAATATGAGAATGCTATATAAATTTTTAAAGAGTTTTTGGATGTATAAAAATATTTTTAAACTAATTAAAATGCTAAAAAAAAAGAATAATCATGAAAAAATAAAATATGAAAAATATATCATTAGAAAGAAAAAAGTAAAAGAAAATTTTAGAAATTATTTTGGTATTTTATTGATTGAAAATGAAATTACAATGAATTTTTAAAGATAAAGCAATTTAAAATAAAAAAAATCAGAAGAAAAAAAACATATGCGTTGGATCTGACCTCATTAATTGACGTGACAGATCCAACGCGCCTTAGATGAGGATGCACCACGGAAATTAGATAAGAAATAACACAAGAATACATTTAAATCCAACCAATGAAATTAAAACAATTGGCCAGCATGTCTGGCTGGGATGTCATCGTTCACTTCTCTGACCATCTTCTCCGGTGAGCCCTCACTGGAGAAGCCACAAATGGTAAAGATAGATCATGAGACCTATACAATTAGAACTGTCTCATTGAAGCAAACTCAATGATGTCCACCATTCTCATTTATTGAAAACGTACATGGAGAATTTCATGAAAATGCAGAGAACAACACAAACACGAAAACAAAAATTAAATGATGCACAAGAAGAATCAACACCAGTTAGATTAGGGGTTACATTCATCAAGCAAATGTCTACATTGTGGTAACTTGTTTGAGTGAAAATAGAGCTTCAAGAGGAACATGATGAAGCTTACGTCTATTTGGTTGGAGCAATTCAGAGACTCTTAGAGCTTGGTGTCGCACCTCGAAAAATCACGGAGACATTTCGGAGAAACGACCCTCGCGCGAAAGGCGCAAAAATGCAGTTCGACAGAGTCGCCACCGAACTTTATTTTTCCCGAATAAACGGGAGAGGAAAATATCGAGAAAACCTCTTAAAACGAAAGGATAGGAACATGGCTGTCGCAACCAAGTTCCGGGTTTGGGAGTCGGTTACGCGAGGGGAAGGTATTAGCACCCCTCACGTCCGTCGTATTCGACGGGAACCTCTTAAGGTATTTGTGGTGAGTGTTGTTTAGGTTTGGTTGTTTTCTTCTCGATGATAAAGGTAGAATTGGTAGGGTAAAAGGTTAAAGATGCAAAGAGAGATGGGTGGTTATTGTAATGCCCATTTTAATTATTTTTAGTTCCGGTGTTATTTTATTCATCAGCGTGTTTGGTGTGAGAATTGAAGAAGAAATAGAGGCATAATATTAATATTTGATAATTGATAATGATAATAGTTAATAATTAATATTAATGTTGATATTATTATTATTATTATTATTATTATTATTAATATTATGAGACTATTACTATTATTTTGGAATAAAATAAAAAGAGAATATTAATAAAATTGGAATAATAAGGATTATTTGGAACTAAGGGCATGTTTGGCAATTTGTGAAAAGGGAATTGGAGAAAGAAAGGGAAGAACACGATTGAAGAAGGAGAAAACACGGTTGAAGAGGAAGAGCAAGGTCTGAAGCTTGAGCATAGCAAAGGATCATCAAGGCTATCAATTGTGTAGATTTTTCGAAGCTTCATCATCATCAATCTGCATTTCGAGGTAAGGGGGGGAGAAAGTGATCAAAACGGGTAGATAGCATGAATGTTAGGTAGTGGGAATTTCCCCTAATCCCATGAATTTTGTTATGCATGTTGTTGTTGTTGTGATTCTGTTATCGATTCTGTTCATGTTGATTTCATTGCATGTTGTTGATGTTGTGTTGATTGAGGGAATTTGGGGGTTTCCGGGTGAATTCAAAGTTATACCGGAAGTTGGTAATTGCGTAGATGTAAGCGTTACCGAGCAGAACTGAGTTAGATGTTATAGTCGGATGGTGGAACGATTTACTGGTATGATGGGTTTGGCTTGGGAGTAGAATCGGCTGAGCTCGGAGTGCGTTGCCGACTCTGAGCTGAGAGCTGTTTTCTGCAGAATTCGCGTGCATTCGCTGGGCGAATGGGAGCGAGCCTTTGCCAGGCGAACTGGGCAGTGAATGCTGCCTTTTGCTTCTGTTTGGCTTCACTAGGGGTTTCGCCGGGCGAGTCCCAGCGAGTGTTTGCTGCGGGGCTTCGCCAGGCGAATGGCAGCGAACATGACAAAATTCTGGGCATTTTGTGCTGTGCTGTTTCGTTCTTGTACCGTTAGACCTCTGTTGGTCATGGGTGATTCTGAGAGTTAATAGGGC